ACTGGCACCTGAGTCAAGGTTACCTTGGCTACTTGGCCATCACTCGTGCCACAAACTGTGTAGTTGCAAACATGGTATGTTCATGAGCAGAATATGTGTTCATTCTCAAAAATTACTTCACATCAGAATTGTTTGCTACTGTTCATGAAGCATTTAGCAATATATATCCTGACAAGTACAAAATAAGACAGTACACAGTCTGGAAACAAATTTCAGGGCACAAGAAGTGTTTGTGACAGGAAACATGCCTGATATTGGACAGTTTACAGTTGTGACTTTCTGCAATATGGAAGAAAATTAAAGGGATTGCCGGTTTCAGTCTAAATGATTGGGTGATAGCCCACACAGACACAACCACTTTACTGTGCGAGTGTTTTGGTAATCGCATTGTTAGGTATGACCTTTGGGCACCATAATCTCCAGATATTACATCATCAGACAAGAGTTTATTCAATTAACCCATGAAATATGGAACAACTGAAATGTAACACTGACCTGAAACACTTTGAAAGTCACACAAAACATGCTAGAAAGGGTGGATTCTTGTCTTTGAGAAGGTGGTAGACATTTTCAGCACCAACTGTAAAGTGGTTCTCTAAGTTCTTCCTAACAAAAACTAAAAAAAACATTTGCCTAGTTGTATTGATGCCACCAAAGCTTGTAAGTACTTTTGTAGTTGGGGGTATTTTAAATGGAACACTATATACATACTGATACACTGGTCTTCAGTTTCTGGCATTGCCAGTCATATTATTTTTATTAAATTTGTTTTTAAAATCAATATTTTATTTTAATATTTACTTTAAATATTTGTGTTTTACTATCAACTTAAAATATACTTACTTTCCATCAACACTTTTTAAAATGAGTTTTTTTACAGCTGCATTTTGGCTCACTGTCACCATTAGCTTTGGATCCTGCTACATCAGCATGTTTTGTCCTTGCCAGTGTTTGGTTGTGCCATAACTCTGACAGTTTCTTTCCTCATTCTTACCACAGAGACTCAGATTCAATCCAGGGATAGTCCATGTAGGATTTGTAATGTACAAGTCAGCACTGGAGGAGGTTTTACTCCAAATACTTCAGTTTCCCCTGCCCATCATCAATGCACTTGGTGTGTGCTATAGGACTAAACAGCCACATGATCATGATTACATACATTTTCGTGAGTTGAGGTTTGGTTGGACTTAAGGGTAAGTTAACATATCAGTACCATGACAATATTGTATTTTGTTGCAGGCCACCAGCAGGAAAATTATATTCATTCCTAGTATATGACTATGTTTTTACTGAAAGAGCCAAATTTATCAGTATTATACAAAATTCTGTTACTGAACCCTGTCCCAAACCATTTCAGTTTCATTTATCATCACAGCAACATTTATTCCCATAAGGTTGTCCTCCAAATGATACTACCAAGAGTTTTCACACCTTGCTCTTGCATGCATTGTGTGTATCAACCACTTCATAATTTCGTTCAAGTGAGCAAAAGGATGATGGGGTCAGTGTGTTGAGATATTGGTTCTAATATAAAATACTGTTTGGTTTATTTGCCAACCATCAGAGTTCTAAGAAAAATGCTTCCTTAAAACCAGCAGAGTATATCATGAATATATTTGCAGCAGGTTCTGAATGAAGGTGATGTTCATGTATATTATTCAATTAGAACGTGGTGTACCATGACAAACTAAACAGCCATTGAAAAATATAGGTAACATTAGTAAAAACAATATGGTCAAGGCTCCTTCAGTTCCCCAGCTGTTAACCTCATGATTACATCATTCTCCTACTGTCACCAAATCATTATACATACACATTTCTTAAGTAAGACATTAAAAAAACAGGATCTGTAAGACTAGAAATGTGTACCTAAGAAAAGTAGACCCAGAGTTTTACCAGAATTCATTTATTTACATTAAGAACAATTTATTTTAATTTACTCCTGGATGGATCTAAACTATATATCTTATCAGTTGTGACTCAGATGTTCTTATCTGTTTCATTTACAAAGCTCTTTTGGAAGTGAATCAACTCTTATCATGATGTATATGTGATGCAAGATGCAAACTAGATAACAAAAGCAGCAGATGTTTGTCATCTGTGTTCTTTTTGGTCTGTTTTACAGAAGGAAAGAGAAATTTGCATAGCATTAATGTCTGAACAAACTGTCCACTTTTATGAAACAAAGTGATTGATGTCACTACAGGTCACTTGAAAATAACAAATTAAGTGCCTGAATCATTTTGTGAAATTAGTATTCTAGTCCCAAAGAATATTACAATAAATTGAACATCCAGCCTCCTTTCAAAAGACCCATTCATCTGATGTGGAAAAACAACACACCAGCACAACTCTGCAAGTCTTTCTATAATAAATTAGATTCTCAAAAATGCAGATTTTCATGCAGTAATATAATTTGTATGATTGTAATGTATTCCATTATATTGTAGACTTTGTAGGTTCACTGCAATTATAAAAGTTTCCCCATTCTAAATTAAGCTGTTGATCTCAGTGGAAAACAGTATCTTGCATCGTTTGTCCACACTTCCATAGGAACTTTGGTCTCTTAACCTTTCTTGGCAATGTGCGTCAGCTTATGGATCTCAAGCTGAACATGCATTTCAGTAGCATAACACTAAACCATTAAATCCTGGAGTGGAGTCTAGGTTGTGGCCTCAGTATTCTTGCATAATAAAGGTTAATTATTTCCTATTAATATTACCAAATTTCATGAAGTTCCAGTTGCATCTTTTTAAACTCTAAGTTAGGTACTCGTCGTTGCTTGTAGCCCGAACCGAATCATACATTTTTAATTTTGTATGGCTGTGCTAATGATATAATTCATATTGTACTGAATAGTTTAAGCATCTTTATTAGAAACTATGCATTTGTTAAGATGACTGTCTTCTGGGATGTTGCACCATGTTGTCCATCCCAGAAGACAGCCACCTTCATAAACATTGCCATGAAAACCTCTGCTCTCACTAAGCCATTTATTAATATATGAGCCAGTTCTACTTCAATTTTGGTCACCAATTCATTGGATCAGGAAGGAAGTAATTCTAGTCAAGACTCTTGACATAAACAACAATAACTGACTAATACTAAATGTTACCATGACTTCCTTAAATTAGATGAAGCCATACCAAATAATAATTAGAAAGCATAATGTCAAGCATCCAATAACTACGCATGAACTGTACAATTTATAAAAATTAAGAATCTCAGCTACCATTGTTTATGCCCAAATCCACCAACTTACAAGACCATTCCAAATAGAACAGATTTATTCTGCATTCATATGAATGTTTTAAAAGAAAAGACAATATTAAACTCTGAAATGATCTACAAACTAATCAGATACTGTATAACTCATACTTTAATAATATACAAGACAATCATAGACATGGACTGTAGAAAATAAAGAACAGTGACAAAAATTGCTATAACTAGTAGTTCTGTAGTGATAATTTATGCTGGGCAATCATAACTGAAGTGTGCCCAGTCACAGGCTATTATCAAGTGACCAAATGAAGCAGAAATCTTCAGTCATATCACTAACACAACCTAAAGCACAATATTACAAGTGTACAGTAATCTGCCTTACAAGATAATTTACTTAGGAGCACAAATGGGAAATACAAGGGAAGGAGGAAAGTTTTCATACTTCATGCCACCACAGTTTTATATAATTTGCAATGGGGTGGAAGGATACAAAATGCGGAATTTGCAGCATTGCAACCTTATAATCTCACAACTTCGTGGAGACATTATAAGACAAGCCCAAACAGGCTTGTTTTTGTTACCATATTTCATACAATTCAAAGGGTTTCATTTATGTTTTATACCCTTGTCGGTGTAGATATTACACTGAGCAAAATAAAAGTTGCTTAATTTTACTAGTAGATACAGTACAATAAAATCTTATTATTATAAAATCAGTCCTGTATGCAAGTAAATCTTTAATGTGTTCACCAAATTTTACATAAAAGGGAACACAATACTTAGCCCTAAACTGAAAGGAAATTTTATAATAACAAGATTTTAGTGTAATTTTATGTCAAAACAGTCAGATCATCTATATCTAGGGAGGTGTCTCACATAAAAATACGTAGCAGCACATTTAATTTTGCTGGCATTTTGGGTACTAAAAACGCCCATAGAGGAGGGGGCATGGGTAATGTAAACACAAGGCAGCCTGGCAGTTAAATGCCAACTGCTTGGTCCTGATGTGATGATTTACAGGAAGTAGTCTGGAGTCCTTCTCGTGACATGTGGCTCACCACGTCGTGGGGCTGGGTCAAATTGTAGGCTGCAAATAAACAGTAAATTTCAGCAAAAAAGTCTACATATCCAATATAAACTAAACCTTTCAAGAACTATTCTTCATACTCACAATGAGTATTTCAATGCATCATCCAGTTCCATTATGGCTGCTTGGTTTCCACAACGATAGCAATAATTGGGTGCTGAGAAAATTGTAACTACATTACGATCATGGCACCTGAAACATTGTTATATTAATTAAATCTTGTATATTAAAACAGTGCAAGAAAAGTGTACACGCACATTTTAATCTAAAACAACTCACCAGTTATAACCCTCCATAACAAGTTGGTGTGCTCGTGACACAAGAGTCAGTCCATTTGAATGATTAAACGTCTCTGAAATATCCTGACCAAAGGTGTAACCGGCACCACGGGGTGAAATACCCCAACCTCCCCGATCATCAGGATCAGACCACAATAAATCACACATTGGACCCTAAAACACATAAGCTTTATTATGAAATTAAAATGTCATGGGTTAAAAAGCAATAATATAAGACTCTGACTTGACCTTTACATCCCTCAAGTTACAAAGAAGTCCTATTTCCTCACCTCATGTGGGACTTCTTGAAGACGATCTAATGCCCGGATGTGATCAAGTGTGTCTATTGATGGAGAAAGACCTCCATGGAGACAGAATATCTGTCCATCCACCAGTGCTGTCAATGGCAGGTAGTCAAATAAGTCGGTGAAAAACTTCCATACATTAGCATTTCCATATTTGCGTAGACACTCATCATAAAAACCATACACTTGTGTGATTTGTCTAGATTCATGATTACCACGCAAAATTGTTATTCTTTCCCGATAACGAACCTGAAAACAAGAGTCTTAATTACCCTTAACTTATTACAACTAATTATATAAGGTCTTTCAGCAAAACACTACACAGTTGCCTGGCTGGCTCTTCCTACTGCACATCTATAAGCAATGGCCTGCCTATTTCCTCATTTTCACAAAATGTTTCTCAGAAGATGGTAATGAAGCTCTTGAGAGTTATGTAGGAAAATTACACATCCACACACAATACCTAACCATGAGCTGCATTTATTATTTTATGGGAGAATAAGACAAACTGAACTACAGATCCCAAAATGTAGAGAATGATACAAAACATGTTTAATGTATTTGGTTTCTTTAACATCTATGGTTATATTGCTGCACAGGAATAAATATAAGCTAAGTAACTAATAAAATCTACATTAATTACATCTGCAGTAAGCATATACTAAATTATATTGAATTCAAATAAACCATATTAAGCTACAGTGCATATTAATAGACGATGAAATACAAATAATACATACACTTATATCTGATGGTTATTAAAATTTTAATTAATAACAAAGTCCTAAAAACCAGACCATTTGAGTTCAAGAACATGATGCTATAAATACTGACTCACCTTCAATGCAACTAATAGTGTAACAGTTTCCACTGAATAATACCCACGGTCAACATAGTCTCCCATAAAGAGATAGTTTGTATCTGGTGACCTTCCACCTATTCGGAACAGTTCCATCAAATCATGAAACTGTCCGTGGACATCTCCACAAACTGTCACAGGACACTTCACTTCCTGCACATTTGATTCTTTGGCTAATATTTCCTTTGCCTGAAATTCAATAAGCTTTGCTATAGAAAAGAAATGTTGCTTTCGATATCAGACAAAAGTATACTTACTGCACCTTATATATTATTACAATGCTAAACATTGGCACACCCACTCATAAAGGGCACGTATGAAAATAGAAACAATCTTTATTAGTGACCAAAAAATCAAATATTAACATGGCTACTACAAGTATAATAAAAAATTCTAATTTGAAAACTAAATTATAAGGTTATACTCTGCTATATATCACATGTACATAGTACTTTACATTTATTTTCATGCCACTTACCTTATCACATAATGTTTTTACTTGGCTTTCTGTCAGTTGTTTGCATTCATTCAATTGTTCTATCCACTGGTCTAATTCCTTCAAGGAAGCCTTTTCTTCCATTGTGTTGGCCTATTTAAATATATTATAACAAATATCACTGTTCATGAAATGTACAGAACATAAAATAAACTTCAAAATATACGAATTGCATATGAAATTAATTAATCCTTTTACACTAGTTACACACACTCCAAGATGGCCGATAATACTTCAAAGTGACGTCACTCCGTATATGCTGAAAACCCCACGAATACTGATTTCTGCGTCATCTAGCGGAATGTTTTATTTAAATTTCAATAAATTCTGTAATATGTACGTAGTTACACAATATGAAAAATTTAACTTTGTGACTTCTAGTATTATTCAATTTTAGAGAAGTGTCGAATAAGTTTTTTCTTTCGTAAATAACTATGAAATTTGGTTTGAGACGTCCAAAGAAGTTCGTGATAAGACATGTCATTTGCCCGAGAAGATTTTATTGATGTCACACAATAACATTCTTGAGCTGTACAGTATACAATTCTGATAGAGTACATATAACTGTAAATTTGGCGAATTTATATTCTACGTAATGTTTTAATCACTAATTTGCGATGTTCTTTTATTTATTTTAAATATACAAATGAATGCTGTTTGATGTACCATCTTTGAAAATTCCAATTTATGACAGATCTAGCGCCATCACGTGACACATTTAGGTTATAAATTGGATCTATAGAGGGAATTCAAACCACAAATGTAAATAGAGTTTTAGAGGCGTGGTTGTAGATTTTGGTTTGTTCTAATTTAATTCTTTCGAAGAAAATGTCTGAGTCTCTACAATTGCGAGGTACTCTTCGAGGCCACGATGGTTGGGTTACACAAATTGCTACGAATGTTAAATATCCAGATATGATATTATCTTCATCTCGAGGTAGGCCAAAGTCAGTAACATGTGGTGATAGTGTGAAAGTAAGAAGTTGATGTGCACGTTAAAGTTTGATAGCCAAGCCAGGTACTTTATAGTAGTGCTGTCAACTTTAATAGGTTTACCTTATGTGTACCTGTTTAGTGTACTTGGTTTGAAGTATAACTTAAAAGAAGAGAAACTTGTTGATTTTGCCACGTTTTATCTTCAGATCGTTCGTTGATGTTATGGAAATTGGTTCGTGATGAGTCAAATTTTGGTATCCCTCAAAAACGGTTACAGGGTCACAGTCATTTTGTTAGTGATACTGTGATATCGTCCGATGGGCATTTTGCTCTCTCTGGTTCCTGGGATAAGACTCTCAGACTTTGGGATCTAACTAAAGGAGTCAGCACTCGCCTGTTTGTCAATCATAATAAGGTTTGTCATTTTTATGCATTAATATACCTTGGTCTCTTATTAGTAAATGGTACCCACAAAGCACATATATTACTATTCTGAACAAAATGTCTGTTGCTAAAACAATTCATTATTTATAACTAAGCATGAAATTTTCCATTGTGCTTTCATGGTATAGCATTACTTACATACTGTACAGTAAACCACATTCAGACCTTTAAATTTATCATCTCCTACACTATTTATACCCATTAGCCTGTTGCATTAAACTATTAGAATTGTCAGGATTGGGAAGTTTAGTTCCCATGAGTAAAAAATTACTTTTTCCTTTTTGTAACTTTACTTAATTATTCAGGATTATGAGAAATCACCATCACACTGCTGAAATTAGTTGTTATTTATTTTACAGGATGTGCTGAGTGTTGCATTCTCAGCTGATAATAGACAAATTGTGTCTGCTAGCAGAGATAGAACTATTAAACTTTGGAATACATTAGCACAATGTAAATATACAATGCAAGTAAGTTTATTGGTTAGTATGTGTGTAATTTGTGAATTGCAACAATTTGGTGAATGCTACATAATGACTTTCCATTCTCAGGATGAGGGCCACACAGACTGGGTTTCTTGTGTTAGGTTCTCGCCAAATTTACAGACTCCAGTCATTGTGTCCTGTGGCTGGGATAAGAAGGTCAAGGTAAAGTATAATTTAAGTTCCAATTTTAATTATTTTGTGTAACACCAGTAAAGCATGTTTAATACAGTCAGACCACATTATCCCTGGAATACTATGGTGGGGTACTGGATTCCCCAACCGATTATTATTATATATATATATATATTTTATTATTATTATTATTATTATTTTATTTTATTTTTTATTTATTTATTTATTTATTTATTTATTTTTTGTTGTTGTTGTTGTTGTTGTTGCTGCCAAGAGATGGTTGCACTGCCTACGTTTTCATTCCCTGTATTCTCATATCAGACCAATATCTCTGCAACAGCAGGTTTGAACTTGTTTGAAGTGGTTGTGTTCTTGTTCAGATTATAATCACAATTGACTAAGGATATATATGAAACAACATGGAAACATGTACACAAGTATAAAAGAATGGTTATGTGTTCATTACAGAGTAAATAAGAGCGCTTTTTGTGGGGTTCATTTCTTTGTTGTAGAAAGCACATTTGATGCACGAAACTTTCTTTTTAGTTTAGAAGAAAATGGAAAATAAGTCCCTGAGTGAAAAAGAGATTTTGCGAACTCTCTTTGAGAAAGATGATGATGAAGATTCGCGTGAAGAAGAAGAGTGCAGTGATGAAGACCATATTGAGGAAGATGTGGTAGCAGACGATGAAATTCAATTGACTAAGGATACACTACCAACACTGCTATTTCGGGCCGATGTTGTGTTTACCCCAGGAAAAATGACAGAAAAACAACAGTCAAATGTCAAAAGTGTTATTGATTTGTCTGCAATTCCCACAAAGTGTGTTTGTGCAATAACTGCTCATAAATTATGAATTATGTTAAAGAAATACTAAAATATCATTAATTATTACGTATAAGAAAGTTCGTGAATCAATAAAAGTTGTCTGTTCAAACTATATATCTCCTCGTCATTGAAATATCGCTTGGGGTATATAGTTCCCCATTATAGTATTACAAGGATTATTTATAAGTGTAGTATTCCAGGGTTATAGTCGTTGCATGGAAGGTGTATCTGTTAGTCTGTATTGCATTTTTGGAACACATATTTCTTCAATGTCTTCAAACTGGTTCTGTTATCACATTAAATTTTTTGCTCTGTTAACCTTAAATTTCTGTATCACTGATCAGCTAACTTCATGAATGTGGAAGAAATGTTACTGGAATCCAAGTGGTAAAACATGCTTATAACTGAATCCCAGTGAACATGAACATCTTTCCATTTCAAACAGGTTTCCATTTAACATAGACACTAATTTGTAGTTGAAAGGGTTGCACAGTGTATATAATATCAGTATTTGTAACACGTATTCTGTACATACTTTGACATCAGATGGATTTCCTTCTTTTTGAATTTCTGAATTGCTATAGTGATGTTTCTTCATAGAAAGAAAATTGTGATAAAGTTTTTGCTTGGAAACCAGGTATCGTGTCTGAGAAGTTTTGTAATTTTTTCAGACCTATCTAGCTAATTCCATGATAGTCCATGACATCTGTCATTTAATAAAGTAAGAAATAACAGGAATTCAATACAATTGCATATTCTGTGCTCCCATATTAGAATATGAATTTATGTAATCATGAATGATGTTATCGGGAATTGTCAAGTATGTCGCTGCTCCTTATCAGGTTTATTCAGTGCACAGTGACCATTTTCATATTCATGCATTTTTAAATGGCATGTATACTGGTATGTATGTAAGAAGGTACTGGTTGCTTGGTAGTAGTGCAGTGTGTAATTCCCTTATATTATGAAATAATGTATCTGAGCATGCATGGATTTTTTAAATTATGTTGAGCTATATGGCCTCTTTAGTTTCTGTACTAAAGACTAGGGATTGTGAAGAATCTTTTTGGTGGGTTTTGAATTCATATTTTTTCTCTTATATTAAATTGTATCATAACTAGTAATGTCTGTTATTACAGGTTTGGAGTCTCACAAATTGTAAACTTAAAACTGATCATACTGGCCATACTGGCTATCTCAATTCTGTGACAGTTTCACCAGATGGTTCTCTTTGTGCTTCTGGAGGTAAGGTATGTGTCTGTGAAACTGAGTGTTTTATCATACAAATAACTGAAACATTCTGGTCATATTACTCTTTGAGTTGAAGTGAAAAAGAACTATTCTTGAAATTAATACATTTATATAAATGGTTTTGCTGTTTGCTAGGATTGGACAGTTATGCTGTGGGACTTAAATGATGAAAAGCATTTGTATACTCTGGAGCATAAGGGAATAGTCAATGCTCTTTGTTTCTCACCAAACCGTTACTGGTTGTGTGCTGCTACAGGACCCTCCATCAAGATTTGGGTGAGTGGATTTTGAAGTACATATATATTCTTTATATATTATTTGACTTTGGAATTGCAACATACAATTGTAAGTACCAAGTAGGTTACTCAGTCTGTAATAGTCTTACTTTAACTTGGAAAGTTTTAGTTTGCTTCTGTATTGGGACACAATATTATCCCGACAGGTTTTTAATTGTTCTCAGTATTTCCAGGCAAATGACTGCTTCTTCCTCAGTCCTTTCATGTCTACCAATAATTTTCATTCTGTCATATTATTGTTCACTAACACCTACAGTTGATACAGCATTACTGATTTTTGTAACCAAAGTTATAAGCATTATTGAAGTTCAAGTGTGTATAGTTAGCGTATCATATATGCAATGATCTTGATGTACTCTCTGCTACATGCACACACTTCTCCCATCCCTGCAGGATATAATTCTTTGGGAGAAGTTCACAGCTAATGGAGACCTCAAGAAACCATGAAAATTTCATTTTAGATTTGAACTGCCCTCATAGTACAAAAAAATTGCAATTACCTCAAATTCAGTAGTAGAGAAGACATGATACAGTTACAAGATATTATCAGTGTTTAGTTTACATCCAGCAGCTGAAGTCCTGTAATTTGGAATTTGATGTTCTCATGGCAGTGGAGATGGTGATCTTCTGGTTTTTGATGCCATATGGACTTGTAGATTTGCAAATAGTCCAGATGGCATCATAACCCATAAGACTGCCACAAACAAGTACTCTAATAGTTGGTAAATACAGTGACTGTGAATAGCATTGAACAGGTTTTGACTTCTTTATTTCCTCTCATTTAGGACTTGGAAGGAAAATTGTTGGTGGATGAACTGTGCCCTGAAGTAGTCAGTCAGTTTTCAGGCTTAGACACAAACCCACCAGACTGTCTTTGCCTAGCATGGTCTGGTGATGGACAGACACTGTTTGCTGGTTATTCTGATAATCACATACGTGCCTGGCAGGTTGTGCCTTCTGCTGCCAGTTAAGCAGTATATTTATTCCTTTTAGTTGTTTAGGCATTTACTTGTAAGAAGCAGTATTATTTTTTGGTTCTCAGGTATAGCTGGATAAGCATAATTGCTGTTATCAGATGTGAATCTTCTAGTCTCATGTAAATAATTACATATGGTAATTGCAAAATAATGTTTTGTAAAATAAGAATTTCTTTGATATTGAAATGTTGATTAAGGTGCTCATCATCTTTTCTCTGTTAGCAACTGATGATTCTGTATGTTATACATAGTTGACTTGTAAGCATTTTGACAGCTAGCAGAATTTATTTTAACAGTGCCACAAGGAAGAGATTGATGTGTCAATTGCTCATTCAGATAATGTTTTCAAGAATGTGTATAGTTTATAAACAAGGAACTGTGATATTTATTTGTTGTATTTATTTATTTTAATGGGCCCAGATTTTCTTTTTTCATTTCTGTGATGAACTGTATACAGGTGGTAAATATTCAGTGTAATCACTCTTTTGTACTATGAGCCTAATTGTTATTAGAATTGTATTACTTTCATGTACTTTACCTTTCAAATTAAAAGTCTTGCCAAGGCACAGTTTTCATTAATTTTGTATGTTTTGGTATGGGACAAACTTGTGATATTCTAAAACGTTTTTACCAGCACAAAATTTTCTGCAATAACGAAAGCGGATTGTTGACAGCAGTAATGTAACAACAATGCCGAGTAAACAGATGATGTTTATTAGGTAACATAACAATGCACGCAAGCTTACCATTTGTTGTCGGTCCATATTTACACATTGTTGATATGGAGCTTACACATTTTTGTTTCACTTTTTTGCCGAATGACCCTTCGGTATAGACGTCTTTACGTCAAAATAAATCCTATTCATATTACCCTAGGTTTGGTCATTTGGCCACCATTACCTTTCTTCTGACACAAATTGTCAAAAATTTGGTGATGTATTAATGTTACAATATCAAAATTGGTATTTTGGATGATCAGGATCAGTATTGTTTGTGACATCCAACATGTTGGCACAATATGTAGTGATAACTGAGACATCATTGTTGCCTAATGAAGTAAAGTGCTGCACTACATTCCTTTTTCCTTGCTGAATTTATTGCATGAAATAGAAGATGTGAACATGGATGTAAGAGGCCCAAGAGTGAAACAGAGAAGTTGGGAGCAACAGGTTATTATTACTCAGAAGAAAGGAAGACTACAGAGTAGATGTAGAAAGACATAGATAAGTATGGTGCTGAGATGACAAATTTAAAGTAAAGTAAGAATATGATGGAAGGTATAAAATAAACATAGAAGCACTCTTATTTTCTTCCTTTGAAAAGCTAACTCCATGAAGACACTCGAACAGTCTTTTATTAATGGGTTCAAAAGAACTTGTCACCAGTCCCTGTTATGAGACATAAATAAAATTCACACCCTCCAACCCTGTTCACTAAGATCCATTTCAGTGCTATGTACATTATGTGTATTTCAGGCAAAATTTCTTGGTTAGCAGTGTTCCTCTTTTAACTACAATTATGGTAAATTACAACATCCTTTCCTACATAAACTCGTGTATTATTAATCCTGGTTATCTATTCTAGGTAGGTTACCTACGATATACTTTGTTTGCTGTACTCTTTGCTTTGTGGGGAATTTTGTGTTCTTCGCTTGCTTCGTGGACGGAAGTATGTAGTCTTAGGTTTTAGGGATCATGCTAGAATTCCTTTTCCGGTCCACTCCTTTCGATGTTAACGTGTGTAGAGAGATTGTTGGTGCTGTATGGTGTAAGGAAATTTTACATCATTGTCGATCGTGTTAATCCTTTTATAGATATTGAGGTGTAATGTCAGAAACACTTCAGTTGAGGGGCACTCTTCGAGGCCACAATGGTTGGGTTACGCAGATTGCTACAAACCCAAAATATCCAGATACGATTCTTTCGTGTTCTCGAGGTAAGTGTAAAATGCGGCGTGATTTTGGTATGCACACACTGGCTTTTAGTTTCGGTGCGTTTTAAAATTCAAGAACTGCAGTTGTAAAATTAATTGGTCACTGTCTGCATATATATTAAGTGTGGAGTGTCTTGAAATTTGCCCGGTTAACATGAAATTTTTGCATCAAATATTACAGATCTAACATAAAACTGAATCATATAAACTTGTGTATATTGGGCGGTTAGTGTTGGACATCTGTACTAGCAGAGTAGAGTAGAGTTGAGTTTATTTACATTCCATAGATACTTCTTAGGACTCAACCAAAGGATGTAGAACATGTCATTTCATACATTATACATACGAGTACAAGAACGTGTTTCACATATCAATGTACATAAATTTCAGATTCTGCAATACAAGTATGAAAAATAATTTTACAAATTAATATACATAAACCTCAGAATTTTAAATATAAATACATAACTTGCTTTACATATACGTACATTATGGATATAAAGCGTAAACATTTTCAGCAGAGATGAAATCGTCTACATTACAGTAATTAGAATTGCCCGTATTTTAACGTTGCGGTGTTACAGCTGTTGGAATTAGTACCATTAGATTCCGATGAGGTACAGAAGTAACTTTTGTTAGTTGAACCATAAATGCGAATATAAGGTGTAGACATTGTTAACATGTCTCTGCCATGTGTATAATTGACCATTGGCATCTGTACATTGTATACCAAAATAGGTCTGGATTGCGGTTATGTTGTTTCTACCTTACCCGATTGATGTTCAGAGAAGTCTTGTTTCTGACTTGCTGTTCTTCTTTTTAGATAAAACCTTGATTGTATGGAAACTGACTAGGGATGAAACGAATTATGGTGTCCCACAGAAACGCCTTTATGGACATTCCCATTTTGTCAGCGATGTTGTTCTTTCTTCTGATGGCAATTATGCTCTTTCGGGTTCTTGGGACAAGACACTAAGACTGTGGGACTTGGCTGCTGGTCGAACCACAAGGAGGTTTGAAGATCATACCAAGGTGTGACCATGTTCTCCATTTGCCCTACAGAACCCAAATGTAACTCAAATGGAAGTTTCTTTGGGTGGTTTAGGTATTCACTGCTAAAGCAGAGGAGTTTTTTTTATTCAAGATGTGGAAGGAAGCTTTTTTGTTTTTAACTTTTTTTATATAGATTTTAGAAGAGGTGGATTAGACTGCATTGATTGTAAGTATTAACAGGCTACCAAATTAATTTATTGGCCATTTAGTTTGGCATAGTGTAGGCATTCATATTAATTTTTGTGTATTGGTACTTAATTTTCCAGGATGTGCTTAGTGTTGCTTTCTCTGTGGATAATCGGCAGATTGTGTCAGGAAGCCGTGACAAGACTATCAAACTATGGAATACATTGGCAGAGTGCAAGTATACTATTCAGGTGAGTTCATTGTGTGTGGACATTATTGTTTATAAAATGTGAATCCCCCCCCAGGACTTCATGAATGTTTCTCAGCAATGTCATACATGATTGAAATTTTACTGTGTTCATAATTGTTGCTTACAGGATGATGGCCATAGTGATTGGGTGTCTTGTGTTCGTTTTTCTCCAAATCATTCTAATCCCATTATAGTGTCTGCTGGATGGGATAAAGTTGTGAAGGTGAGGACTAGTTTCTGTATTCTGGCTTCATGTGTACAATGTGAATTTCCAAAGATGCACTGTATTGTCTGTCTAGACATTGTGTGCATCTGGTGCTTTGAAATATGAAAAGTCATTTATTGGTGTTCTTGATGCTTATGAGTGTAATGGGAATTTTGTGGTGGGGGGTCCTTTGAAAGAAATTAACTGCCTTCATTTTTTTATTGTCCCCCTTCCAAGGCTGGCACAAGTGTTTATGTTGTTTAAGGTTCCAACGTGGACATGGTAATGACATTAAGAATATTGGTGTTTTCTGATGATTTGTTTGCATTTTTAGGTGTGGAACTTAACAAACTGTAGGTTGAAGATCAACCACATTGTTTCACATATCAATGTACATAAATTTCAGATTCTGCAATACAAGTATGAAAAATAATTTTACAAATTAATATACATAAACCTCAGAATTTTAAATATAAATACATAACTTGCTTTACATATACGTACATTATGGATATAAAGCGTAAACATTTTCAGCAGAGATGAAATCGTCTACATTACAGTAATTAGAATTGCCCGTATTTTAACGTTGCGGTGTTACAGCTGTTGGAATTAGTACCATTAGATTCCGATGAGGTACAGAAGTAACTTTTGTTAGTTGAACCATAAATGCGAATATAAGGTGTAGACATTGTTAACATGTCTCTGCCATGTGTATAATTGACCATTGGCATCTGTACATTGTATACCAAAATAGGTCTGGATTGCGGTTATGTTGTTTCTACCTTACCCGATTGATGTTCAGAGAAGTCTTGTTTCTGACTTGCTGTTCTTCTTTTTAGATAAAACCTTGATTGTATGGAAACTGACTAGGGATGAAACGAATTATGGTGTCCCACAGAAACGCCTTTATGGACATTCCCATTTTGTCAGCGATGTTGTTCTTTCTTCTGATGGCAATTATGCTCTTTCGGGTTCTTGGGACAAGACACTAAGACTGTGGGACTTGGCTGCTGGTCGAACCACAAGGAGGTTTGAAGATCATACCAAGGTGTGACCATGTTCTCCATTTGCCCTACAGAACCCAAATGTAACTCAAATGGAAGTTTCTTTGGGTGGTTTAGGTATTCACTGCTAAAGCAGAGGAGTTTTTTTTATTCAAGATGTGGAAGGAAGCTTTTTTGTTTTTAACTTTTTTTATATAGATTTTAGAAGAGGTGGATTAGACTGCATTGATTGTAAGTATTAACAGGCTACCAAATTAATTTATTGGCCATTTAGTTTGGCATAGTGTAGGCATTCATATTAATTTTTGTGTATTGGTACTTAATTTTCCAGGATGTGCTTAGTGTTGCTTTCTCTGTGGATAATCGGCAGATTGTGTCAGGAAGCCGTGACAAGACTATCAAACTATGGAATACATTGGCAGAGTGCAAGTATACTATTCAGGTGAGTTCATTGTGTGTGGACATTATTGTTTATAAAATGTGAATCCCCCCCCAGGACTTCATGAATGTTTCTCAGCAATGTCATACATGATTGAAATTTTACTGTGTTCATAATTGTTGCTTACAGGATGATGGCCATAGTGATTGGGTGTCTTGTGTTCGTTTTTCTCCAAATCATTCTAATCCCATTATAGTGTCTGCTGGATGGGATAAAGTTGTGAAGGTGAGGACTAGTTTCTGTATTCTGGCTTCATGTGTACAATGTGAATTTCCAAAGATGCACTGTATTGTCTGTCTAGACATTGTGTGCATCTGGTGCTTTGAAATATGAAAAGTCATTTATTGGTGTTCTTGATGCTTATGAGTGTAATGGGAATTTTGTGGTGGGGGGTCCTTTGAAAGAAATTAACTGCCTTCATTTTTTTATTGTCCCCCTTCCAAGGCTGGCACAAGTGTTTATGTTGTTTAAGGTTCCAACGTGGACATGGTAATGACATTAAGAATATTGGTGTTTTCTGATGATTTGTTTGCATTTTTAGGTGTGGAACTTAACAAACTGTAGGTTGAAGATCAACCACATTGGTCACACTGGATATTTGAACACTGTAACAGTCTCTCCAGATGGTTCATTATGTGCTTCTGGAGGCAAGGTAAAAGTTATATGATGTATTGAGATCGTGTAATGCCAAATTGGTGATAAATAACTCTGAGTGTATAATGTAATTCTTCAATTTGAAGAATCAAAGATTGAGTTAATTTCATGAAATAAAATATTTAGCTGCAAGCCACTGTAAGTTAACAAAATTAACACCATATGAGAGTTAATTTATTTGTGATATGTTTAATGATGCTGTCACTAGCTCATAACATTGAGTGAGGTTTACAGTACGTACAGTGATTAAACTGATGACAAAGTATGCATTAGAGATCTGGTGGTAAATTTTATTTTGGTCTTTGTTAACTCAATATAGCCTATTTTTGCTTGAAGGTCCCCACATCAAAGTTAGACATTTTCTTTGCAATGGCTTGTAGCAGAAAAGATTGTTGCATAGAGTATGAATGTCGTTAAAATTTTATATGTTGTTACATCAGTGCTGTTTTTAACTTTGTATCTGCAATAAATGAACGTCAAGGTGGGTGAGGTATGTGGAGTTGCAAGAAATTAATTTTGTGGGTACATATTACTCATGCGAAGTACTAATTTCCATTCTTGTTACATTATCAGTAATGCTGTACAGGCAGGTTTTGGCTTTCATGTCAGGTGGTGTATGGCATAGACATTTCTAAGCATTATACTTCATCAATACAGTTGCTGTAAATAAGAATGTTGGTGGTTATGTATTTAGCTTCTTTACACTGATATTTTGTGAATTTGTAATTTTATGAATGTGCTCATATTCTTGAAGCAGAGTACCCATTTACAAAGTTTACTTCATTTTTATGCATGTATCTTGGAATTGTGGTTCTGTTAGAAATGTCAGCAAGAGCTTGAAGTGTGAACTGTTAATTTTCTGTGTACAATTTGGTTGATTTTGATGTTAACATAGGATTAAGGTATAGGGGTATATACTTTGGTATTTTTATGATGCATGTGGTAAAAGATTAATATTCATTCTTTGGCTGTGTACTACAGGATTGTAAGGCTATGCTGTGGGATTTGAATGATGGAAAACATCTGCACACTTTGGACCACAACGATATCATCACGGCTTTATGTTTCTCACCGAACAGATACTGGCTCTGTGCAGCATTTGGACCCTCCATCAAAATTTGGGTAATGTATATCCGCCCCCTTGTTAATTGTCTATAAATATAGATAGCACTTGTGAGTTTATTTCATCATTACTGTGCAGTTGTAATCGTTCGTGTTTGGCAAAATTGATTTTGTTATCTTGTGTTTTGAAGTTGATTTGTTAGCATATCCAGCATGTTGGGACATGATGAAATTCTAAACAATCATGAGAGCTGTGAGTGTATTGCGGATATGGGACTGACACCATCGGCTGGAATTTATTTTGTATATTCATCTTTGTTACTGAATAATTCTGGATTCAGCAGTTATTTTTAACAGGAAAACAATTTGCCTTGCCAAATTGACTAGAAATAGATTCCTGTCTGAAGAACATGCTTTTGAATATTTGGTTGCATTTCACAAGTAAATTGTTTTTAGGATCTGGAGAGCAAGGATATGGTTGAAGAGTTGCGTCCTGAAGTTGTATCCCAGACGGCTAAAGCCGAACCGCCTCAGTGTTTGTCTCTGGCATGGTCAACTGACGGTCAGACATTGTTTGCTGGCTATTCTGACAACACTATAAGGGTGTGGCAGGTGTCTGTCTCTGCACGATAATTTTACGTGTCATACGAGTATGGAAAAGAGGCATAGCTGTTTTATTGACTTTTAATAATGTCTATAGATGTTTTATAAATCCAATAAATGGCCTCTTTTCATTTGAAATGTGTGATTTTCTTTCCAAGCTATCATAACTAGACGTAAGAAGTATATTTATCATGGTTGTACAGTGAAGAACTTGGTATAATAAAAAAGTGTCCATGTTTATGTGATGGTTGATGTCAGGTTGTGAGGCATTTTGTTGAGGGTTTGATGTTCCCCCTGTCTTTTGTCACTGGTAAACCTTTGTGGCATACAGTTACAGCTGCCCTAAATATTGTATGGCGAGGAATCCACGAGTATTGATAGAAGCTATTAAAATGTGGGATCTTTTAATGGGGGCAAAGTTTGCGATTTACCAGTCTACTAACTGCATATGAAGGGAGTGTGATTATGCAGTAGAATGTTAATTACTCCGAAACTACTCATGGATCTTGTGGTATGTTGTTCGTAACTTAATTGGAGCCAGCTTCTACAACAACTCGCTACACATTTCCTGCATATGTTTCCTAACTCACACTTGAATTCCACCTTGCCATATAATCCATCCTACCAGTGACTCCAGTTCATCTGTCATGTAAGATGCATAACATTTTCCCTCCTACTTTGCCAGTATTTCGCAGGGCTACTCTCCTGCAGAAGGGTTGGTTGGTTTGAGGCTCGGCTGGTAGTGCCTTTATGAAGACCTGTTTCCTTCCTGCTGCCTGCATAGTTTTAACAGTACTTTTATTTTTGAGGTGTGTGCAGTGTATTGAGATTCTCTTTTCATTCTGATCAGCCTAAGCATGGACTCGTTAAGTGCCTTGGTGTGTCCATGGTTACTCAATTGTTAATTGTCCTGTTTCCATACGGCATGGTTGTCTTGCGATTTACTGGGTACCTGATCGTACATGTCTACCTAGAAGTGAGGCTGTTAATGAGGTTGCTAAAACAGCGAGTCATAGATCCATGTTATCTAAATAAGCTATCAGCAGGGGAAACAAATTGTGAGAGGTAAAACCATCCATGCAAGTGTGGGGTTCCTCTTCTGGTTCTGTCATTAAAGTGTAAGCTATTCCGATGTCTCTGGATTCGTCACATTCTTCAAGCATAGGCATTTGTTGTGGGGAGGAACCAGGATGTGTTTATGAAAAGTGGTAGGGGAAGTCACCAAAAACCACTTACCTTTGTTTTTATCTCATAACCTTGAAATAAATAGTACAAAAATGTTGATAGCACATACATTTCCATATGCTAGACAACTACAGAGCATTCACGTTTTGGAAAATTTCTGTGAGCTTTTACAATCAATAAAGCTCTGTTTTGGCAGTATTTGTTTAACGTATGTATAGTACTGGCAGTTTTTTTTGGTTTGTGGACACAAAAAGTGTGGCATGTTATGCAAATAAATTATTATTACACACTGGGCACTTTTTACCCAATTTTAACCATGCTTTTTTCTCTAAATAGTATTTGATACAGTATTGACACTGAGAATCTGCCAGATATTTTGAGTTTGTCTTTTTCAAGTACTCATAGCTATCTTCAAATTCAGTATTTGGTGTAAAGTAGGAAAAAGATTATTGATTTGTCATATAGTTTCTTTATACATAAAAAGTTCTTGTCTCTTCAAGCAGCCTCATAGTATAGTGGCGGAGGTACCTGGAAATGTTAAACAATTATTAATTGAAATTCAAACATCCAGCTTGCAGACCAAACCATTTCATAACATTGTGTGATTAAAACAAATTGTATCAAGTACAGGGTATTGTGTAATGAAAACGTGCTATTAACAAATAATTAGGAATATTTTTAGAAAGTGAATTAGAAACATATAATATGGGTAACTTTTATCTGAAATGTTGGTCTATATGTAGCAACACTTCATCATTGCCATTCTTGGTATGTAAGTTAGCAGAAATGTGGAATAGAAACATTAGCTTGATGTTTGTCACACAAAAAACACTAATGATGTAGATCTATGATCTTACTGCAGATTTTGGCCTTGATTTGTCCTGTTTGCATTAAACTGTACCAAGAATTTCAGCATCGGTTAATTTCTCAAACTGTAGAGTAATGCTTTTCATATAAGACAAAGTCCATTGTTTTACACCTTTGACTTTTGGAATGATAACCCCGAAATATTGGTTTTCATTAAAGAGGCTTCCTATGTCTCTAACTTCATAAACTTTTATAACATTGAACTTTCTTTCTGGTCCAAGTTATTTCTGCACATTTAACCACTTGTTTAGTTTGAGGTCTACATATGAGGTGCTACCCAAAAGTTAAGAGAATTTGCCCATAAAAAAAATTGCTTATCATAACTTAGTTTCCACAATCTCCTTTGAAGTAGTCCCCTTGGGCATGGATACAGCGATCCCAGTGTTTTTTTCCCATGATTCCATGTAACCCTGGAAGTCTTCAAGTGTGAGTGTTTTAAGCACCTTCTGCGATTCTGCCCGGATCTCCTCAATTGTGTCAAAATGGTGGCCTTTCAATCGAAATTTCATTTTGGGGAACAGGAAAAAGTTGCAGGGGGCGAGGTCAGGCGAATAGGGTGGGTGGGGAATCACTGTCGTGTTTTTGGAAGCCAAAAACAAGGAGCGATGTGTGGGCGGGTGCATTGTGGTGGAGAACCCAGCTGCTGTTCTCCCACTTTTCTGGACGTTTGCACCTAATGCTCTCCCATAGCCGCTTCAAAACTTCCCATTGACAGTTTGACCAGGGGGGACAAATCGTTGTGGACAATGCCTTGGATGTCAAAGAAAACGATCAACATGGACTTCACATTCGACAGATGTTCGTCCATCCTTAAAGCATTTGTACGACAAAAAAGTTTTACTTTAACTCGTAGCGTTCTCACCAAATGCTTCCACAAGCATGCGGTGGGTTTCTACAGCAGTTTTTTAAGCTTAAAGCAAAATTTGATGCAGATTATTTGCTCCTTAAAATCTGCCATTTATGTAGGTTTAAAAAATCGCTGAACCACTACAACACTTCTGCTTGGTAGTTCTTTCATACATTTATTATGGGAATAAATACTGTGTTAATTATAATAGTACCGCTGCTGACTTGAATCTGTTGATATTTTTCATTGTGCGTACATCAGTCTGTTACAAACCTGCTGTCTGTTTTCCAGTTTTGCCTGAGTGTCTGTGGGAATTAATTCCATGGGTAATATTAGATTTGAAGGGGGGCTTTAAAAAGTCATTCAGTCCTTTTAATGTAATGTAGCATTATGAAAAAAAAATTCTCAGCTATAATTTTTTAGTAGATGTTTGGCTTGGAAGTTAGAAGAGATTATGCAAGGAAATACTTTACTCCTGAGTGACTTACCTGATTAAGGACTCTTTCCATGGAGTTAATATTTTGCTTTTTAACACTAAGAAATTCCTTGGCTTGTAAGCACATCTGTATTTTCAGAACATTTTAAATAAACCAGTGACCTGTAGCAAGTATTTGAAAATGGTTCACAATCTTACCATTTGATTTGCATTCAGAGAATGTCCCTGTGGTTGACCATTGTGATAGTCCATTAATGGATACTCATCAGTAGTGTGGAAGGCTTGTAGGATGGGAGCTGTGAAAATATTTTCCATGTAAACATCATATTACATTTGACTTCACTTGAATTGTAGCTTTGTTTTATCTTTGCAGTTGCATTATTTACCTGATGGTAATCTACTTTGTGGAGAACTGTATTCATGCCCTGATAATATTGTATATTCATTCATGCCTCTTGGTCTTCTGTGACCTTTACAGCATAACAGGATTCCTGTCATTATCACTATTAACAGCAGTATGTACAGTGTTATTTGGAGCCCTGAAATATAAATGTAAGCACATTATTTCAAATGGCTTTCCTTTTTGTGTCCTGCTTGTCCCATGACTTACCATTCATATTTCTGTTCAGTATGAAAGGTATTATATTGAAAGCCCCAAGTTGGTAATCAAAATTAGTAATATAGCCCATGAATTCACTGGATAATTTCTTAAACCTGAGATCTGATCCTATATAATATATATTTGTTAAGTTTGTGGAATAAGATTTCTGTGATGTAGTCTTACAATGGCTGTTCCAATGCCAATGCCTGTGACTGTGGTGATGCAGTGAAAGTACTCTTTCATCTCCGTAACAGCAAATCTTTGCCACAAAGTTGCAGCAGTGCAGTCCCCAGTCAGGTCCACAACATCCATCTTCAGTTGAACAACAGGCTGTTATATCCTCTCCAGCCTACAAAGAATTCTTTTAAAGACAGTATCGTAATAATGTAATGTTTATTGAAAGAGGAAAGCAATGGGATTAGTTGCAGTTAGGAATTATTTGCCCGTTCTCACTAATAGTGGCACGTCTAGTGAACGAACCAAAGTGCCTATGTACTACTACGGGTGGTTGGTGCGAATTTTTTCGTTTTAGGTCGATCACAGTGACAGGTATGCATGGAACTTGTCTTCCACTCGTAAATCGTCATGTTGCGGCGCTTCAGCACGGATAGAAACGCCTTTCTATAGCAGCCTAGAAAATAGGTTCAAATCAGTCTTATTTGAGAATGGATTCTAGAGATTCTAGACTTCTTTGGAAGAAGTTTATTTAACGACACTTTCAGTATCGACTTTTTAGAGTAGTGAGTAATAAATTGTAAAACAAGCTGTCGTGTACGATTTGAGGTTTTCACGGCGGTGAGTCTGAAGATTGCGGTGTTCTGGGTTGTTGTGCCGTGTAGTCTGGTAGAATCCCACAAACGTTTCAGAGGTCATACTGCCTTCTTCATCAGGGCGATGACGGAGGCAGTAATGACCTCTAAAATGTTGATGGACATTACCAGACTACACGGCGCACCAACCCAGAAGGCTGCAATCTTCAAGCTGTCGTGCCCTAATATAAGGTCCTACCTGGCATTTTCCGGGAGGGATTGAGGAAAACTTGATGGCCGGTCTCCAGGCACCTGGATATGAATCAGGAGAGCTACCCATTCACCTACGAATTTTAATCGAAGTTTATAATGTTTCATGACCTCAAGAAATGTATACACCAGTTGTATCTCGTTAACAAATCTTCCCTTGTAGGGTCTTAAATTCTCACAGCGGTGAGTACGATGGGCTGTCTTCTGGATTGTAAGGCACTCATCGCCTTGATAGATACAACAAAGACCTCTGAAATGTTGGTAAACGTTTACCAGAATACACGGCACTACAACCCAGAAGAATTTCATCTTCAATCTTACCTTAATTTCTGGAGCAACGAATAAACAGAACAGTGTAGAACACAGGGTGTAATGGAACAAAGAGAGGCCCATGTTACTTGTATGATATTACGGACATTACTAATTTCGTGGAGGATTATCGGATTAATAATATCCAGTGTAATGCAAATGTAGTCATGTGAGGTCTGTTTCATTCGAGGACACGTCACCCAGTACACAAGGAATTATTTGTATCGCAAACTTCGAAATAGATGGATATTCTTCGGGTGTTCTTAGTAGAGCCAACACATTATTTTGCAACGAATAATATGTTGCACTCGTGACACTGTATTCCGACATTAGAATTTGTGGTTTTTTATGCAAAGTATATCTTATTTAACGACGCCGTCAGTGGCTTAGTTTATATTTGTGACAGGATGATCAGTGGGCTAAGAAAAATATGGAAGGGGGCAACAGATTAGTTGAGCTTGCTGTTGGCGTCTTAAGAATGACTGGTTCATGTAATTTATTAGTGAATAAATGTCATATGAAGCCACATTTGTTTGTGATTTTATGAAGGTTTTACATTTCAGAAAATCAAACATGTGAACTACTTCATCTCGCGTAACCATCGGATATTGTAGTTATAAAATGCAAGTATTTTCTTTGCTGACGTGACTTGCCCGTTGCATATCTTCCATGGTACGAGAATCGTGGCTGGGGAACTGGAAATATAGGCAAAATGGCGGGTAGAACGTTAAGTGTTTTTTGTGCATGTCGTAGAAATGTAGCATATATTACTGCTCTGCAAAATGCAAAGTAAGAATGCCATATGTTTGTTTTTGTATGCCTTTTGAATGCTCACTGCATTAAAACATGGTTCATAATATCATAGGTACGAGTGAAAGTGTGTAAAATGACACGCTTAAAATTCTTGACGGTAAATAGAAAAAGTAAGGTTAGGACAATATATTACCCATATCAGGTAGTGCTTTCTTCATACCAAAATTTAGTAGAGCCCAAGTTTCAGAAGAGCATGGAGGGTATTTTGTTTGCGCACATTGTGTATGTTTACCCTAAATTCTGTTTTATACGTGAGAGAGTTCAAGCTTTGTTTTGTAGGATTAAAGGTAAAATAAGTGAGGGATGCACAGCAGAAAGGTAAGAAACGTGTAAATGAAAGTAATGCGGTTGCCAGCGAGAACTGTCTGTAGCAAGATAATGAAAAATGAGCAAGATTTAGAGCGTGATTTATGTTATATACATACAAAAATTGAAAGTCAATTTAAGAAATACAGGTTCAGTACTGCAATTATATTTCCTCATTCTTCCAACAACATGCAAAGTTTTCCCATCTTGACAGAATTGTGAGAAATTTATAAATATGCATACATTCTATGTTAGACTTGTGCAGGTTGTTGGAAGCAATTTAGAACATACATTCAATTTAGTTATCATGTGTAAGTATTACTTTTTAACATGTAAGAACAGAAAATCATATATGCAGCACTGAATTAACATTTTAATTATGCTTTTTGTGCTTGAAACGACCACTGTAATGAAGACTGGTCTTCTGCATTGAGATACCATGCAGGCTTGTGTATGGTTACTTCAGATCTTCAGCTTTGTAATGTACTGAACCCCACTTCAACTGTCATTAGATAAAGCTATTATTTTATAAATTATTGTATGGGCAGTATGCAACTGTATTAATTTATCAGACTTCGATATTCATGTAAGCTTCGTGTTCTTGCAGTATCCAGTCTCTTGGAAATAAAAGGCATTATCACCTAAACAGCTCAAGGACTTCTTGTCTTGCTGTTAGGACTCCAGCCATTTCGGTCTCTTTTGTACCAAGGAGGTCAATGTTTATTCAGACTCAGGAAACACCAAATCCTAATTGTCTGAAATTTCTCCCTGGGGTGCCGGTAACTATGTATGGTTTTACTAATATGCTAATACAAATTACATTTTTAAACAACTTGTTCTATTTGAAGATTAGTTCCTTATTTTCTCAAGTAGCAAAATAACTGTTTTTTGTTCTTTATGATTTTTAACAAAATCTATCTTTATATATAATTATGAGTCAATGTTTTCTTAATTAGTAGACTGTTCTTCACATAGAATATCTGTGATACTATTTCAGAATGTTTTATTTCCAGATTGTATACTTAATTTACGTTATAACATTCAGGTATTAGGTTCTGGAGAAACAATGGATTTTCCAAATGGTCAGTCTGCATATCGATCACCACTGTGCAAGCTGCTGTTTAGAATTGAGGGTGTAAAATCTGTATTTTTTGGTCCTGATTTTATCACAGTCACCAAGGTAATAATGTTTAACTTTCTTTTTAATGTAACATAACTTTACTTGTCTGTCTTAATTCTTGACTGTTGTTCCAAATTCACTATTCATATAGAAAGGGATGCAAACCTTTCTTACACCTAGTAGGAGCTTATAATTTATAATGGGCACCATATGAATGTACCAAAAAGAAAGATGTGAGCTGAAATAATTAGGTTACCATTGTGTTCTTACATCTGCTACACCAACCGAGTCAAAGGGCAATATGAGAATGTGACATATAATTTGATAATAACAAATTAAACATTTAAAACTTTATATGAATATTCTAAAAAAATTTTGGGCACCCCAAAATCCTTCTGAGGCCCCAAGGTGCTTGTGGGAACATGGTTGGCAATCCTTGTTCTGTATTATTTTTGTATGTTAGATGGACCTCATATTGAGGAGATGATAGTGGATAGAATTTGTATCTTAGAAAATTCAGTTATCATAGATATCTTAGCATTTTTAAGATAATTAATTTTGTCAAGAACATGTTTGAAGTTTTATAGATGGTCTTAGAAAATTTTGTTGTGTGTTGTATATAATTCCTAGGTTATGAATTTGTAAGTCCTATTTTTTTTAAAAAAGCCTATTCTGCTGCTGCCTACACTGTGATTCAGAAAAGAAATGCACCATAGTGTAGGTGCTGAATAAGGATCTGCGTACATTTTTAAATGTCTGTGGAAACACTATACTTCAACTTCTTTTCGGTGTTTCGGCTTGTATGGTGGATGATGTCAGCTTTTCACATTTTTTACCTGTGCTCAAGTGCATTTTCTTGCTGCATCAGAATGTAGGCATCGTTCACAAGTCACAATACCTATAAGTACCATTGTGGCGACAATGAGTGGCTTTGTGATTGTGGGAATTTTGTAATATTTGTACATTTGTTGAATATTTATGGCAGTTTGTGTGTTAATCATATTTTTGTTATATAAAATATCCAGATATATTATGCTACATACATCCTTCAAGTTTGACTAACGTTGTGCCTATGTTTTTATGACAGTTGGACGAAGATGTTGAGTGGAAAATCTTAAAGCCCGACATTTTTGCGACTATCATGGACTTCTTTGCTAGTGGCTTACCAGTTGTTACCGAATCTGAGCCTTCATCTGACACACGTAAGCATGGGATATGGTTGAAGTTTGTATTATGGTTACATGCAAAACTCCTTTATGTTGTCCCATTATAAACTAATGACTGGATAATTATAATTGCAGAAATTAAAGATGATGATGATGAAACAGTCCAGATGATAAAGGAGTTGCTAGACACAAGAATCAGGCCTACAGTACAGGAGGATGGTGGTGACATTGTCTTCATGGTATACAAATATTTTTAAGTTCTTTATTATGTTATGTACTGGAAGCTCATATTATTTTGCAGAACTTAATATTTACATTGTCTCTTTAACTGCTTGGGAAGTGATTAATGATTAATCAAATGTATCATTGTAACTCCTTTTACTGCGCATCTCCAGACGTAGAATATTGACACATTTTGTGGTTATGAAGTTTTTTGTGATATAAATAACGTGTTATTGGTGGTTGAAATTCCTCTGTGTTGTATGTAATAATTGCAAGTACAGAAATTGTATATTGTTACATTTTTCAAATGATATTTTTAATTCCATCCAGTACTAATTCAGGACTTCAAAATAAATATTTTCTCTCTCAGTTTACTCATGTTTCTGTAAATTTATTATATATTTCCATGTCATGTGTAAAACTAATTTACATTGATTAAGTTGCAGTGAAATAAAATAAACATATTACTGAAATAAATAAAAAACCCTGTTTAAGTTGTAAACTCTGTGTTTATCTCACAGTTTTGTTCTGTTTCTGTGACTGTATTGTGAAAACATTACTGATAGCCATGATTATGGTGTCTTGTGAATGGAGGGCTAGGGTTCAGTACCTGGTAATAGCATTAGGAATTTTCTTGTTATCATCACATGGATCCAGGTGTGGAACCCACTCAGCCCCTTATACCTAACAGATACTGAGGCATTAGGATGTAGAGTATGAGGCTTATTGCTTACTCCCATCCAGAGCTGTACTTATGTTTTCCATCTTTAGTTTGGTGATGTGATGCACAGGATCTTTACTCTACAGAGTGGGTGGGAAGTAAGTAGGCATTAAATTATCGCTTTGCATTGGATATATAAAGGTTATAACCATTTCTCAATGCATACTTACCTCCCACCCACTCTGTAGATTCTGAGGCATAACTTCTGCATGGAACTTAGAGCTTTCTTATGAATACCCAGTAATTTTGTTTTTCAGGGATTTGAAGATGGTGTTGTGAAGCTGAAGATGCAAGGCTCTTGCACTGGCTGTCCGAGCTCAGTGGTGACTTTGAAGAATGGAATTCAGAATATGTTACAATTTTATATACCAGAGGTTTGTACCTAAATGCATTCAGGCAACCCTTCCTTTATTTTAAAATTGTGATCAGTAGCATTAAATTCTTAAAGATTCGCCATCAGTACAACAAGTGACATATTTATTTATAGTTTATTTAACGACATTTTTTTAGTAGCTCAGGCTGTATAGTGTTGAATGAGAGAATGGTAGTGAATAATGAATTGGAAGGATAGTATGGGACAGAGAAATCACAGAACAGTGCAAAATACAATTTACAAAACATATTTTACACCAAATGTGGCATTTAACACTGCAACGTGGACCCTTCTTTTATGGCTCTCCGGTTCATATTCGGTCCATGGCCTCCTCAATTCTCCTCTTCCATTCGGTCCTCTGTTAGGTCCGTCTACCCAAGGCTTTGATCGAGGTTTCAAAACATCTTCCGGTGCAAGGTTGTTAGCCTTGCGACCAACCCCCAACCTGGAGGACCAGGGTACCTGTCTTAGTCTGACCTCTCCCCCTCGACCAATCTGGCTAGGGAGGCCCTACCAGTAGCTATGCTACTGCCAGCATAGCTCTTGGGGTGACTGAGGTACTCAAGCCCCACCACCACGACAAGGTGCAGGTACCATTACGTGGGAAACATGGACCCTTACAGAAGCAAAATTCAAGCATTGAATATGAAATTTTTGTAGATGTTTTGACCAGGCTTTCTCAGGGTTGAAGTGTATAATGCATGTGTCACTGGTCACCTGCAAGGGACACTGCAAAGTGATGGCCACTTTAGGAATGGAAGCCATAGTTTACACTTCTTGCGATTATGATGTGTCAGTCCGCATACTATTCCGTACTCCATTTATTGCAAGTAATGTTGATTTAATTTAATTTGCAGGTTCTTGGAGTAGAACAGATAGAAGATGAAATTCAGATATTGACAAAACTTGAATTTGAACAGTTTGAAAAGAAAGTGCTTACTGAAAAAGAAAAAAAAGAAAAGCAGTCTTAAATCTTCACCTGTAACATAAGGTAATAATAACCTGTGTAGAATATCAGAATCCCAGTTTAAATTCTGTTTATCGGTGAATCCTGCAGCAATTTTAATACACGTCTTCACGTAATCTTGCTTATCACTAGTCCAAGAATTCCGATACATAATATCTATTTGAGAGAATTCTACAGAAAGGTTTATATCTTGTATTTTGTAGTATTAATTTCACTCTCAGTTGTCCGAGAAGTGTTGTTCATCTTTCCCGTTTCAAGAAAGAGAGTGAGACATTCAAATCTTGGGCATTTTATGGGCTTTGTGTGTTTCAGATTATTTTCTTAAATAGCATTAACCAATTGATTTTTGTAATGTTGAATTATTGTATTTTATTTGATGTACAGACTGAATTCCTTCATAATATTTAGAAGATTTTTGGCGTCAAAGCGTTAACGCAGTTCATACTCTTTCGTTCATGGGGTAGTTACATTGATCATTGAAGAAGTTTTATTGTATTTAATCACCTTCATACAGAGAAGTTGATTTTTAGATGAGCTTAGAGTTGATTATAAGTAACTGAAGACGATCTTATTGTATATAAAGTATTAATTAAACAAATCAGAGTGATCACTGTTCTTACATAAAATATGTAGATATATATAGTTAGAGTTCTTAAGAACAGAGATTAATCATAATTTTAATTAAGGTTTCTTGAACTGGATGACCAGGGTTCGATTCCCAACTGGGGCAGAGGATATTTCCTGTAACCTCTGCATCCAGATAGGCTCTGGGGCTGACCTAGCCTCCAATCCAATGGGTGCCAGGGTCCTTTCCTGGGGGTATAGCACAGCAGGGGCATGACACTGACCGCTCACCCCCGTCTAGTGCCTAGGTTAAGAATGGGTAGGAGTTATACCTCCTCTGCCCCCAAGCACCTACAAGGCGTTTAGTGGGACGAAGATAGTCAAAATTGCATAAACTGGCACATAAAGTTTGAGCTCTATCAATATTCTAAAACGGTAAATTGCATGGGCGAGAAGGAATAAGAAACTTCGGACTTCCTTGTAGCGGATATCACGTGGATATTAAGGTAGAATTGAACCTATAGCCAGTCATGTGGGTGACGGTTTCAGTTCCAACCTGTGGCCTCTAATATATCTAATTATATATCATATAAAATTTCTGCCAGTTTATGAGCATTTTAGTTTTCCATCAACTATTACAACAGCCTTCTGTTTTCCTATACTGCCTTACGACCCGTTTTTCAAGTGCCTGAGCACTGCGGGTACCAACTTTTCGTTGGCTCGATCTATAGACATTTGGCAGGACTCCTTGGACGAGGGATCGGCCCGTCACAAGGCCTCTACCTGTACACAGGACAGCACAACGCAGAAAAACGCGGACAAACATCCATGGCTTGAGTGGAATTCAAACCCACGGTTCCAGCAGCACAAGGTCCACGCCTCAGACCGCGCGGCCACTGCGGACACCTGTTTTGCTATACAAATATTTTTAATAAGAAAATGTTTTACCACTGTTTACAAATTATTTTAAAGAACTTGCGTATTATGCAAGTGATTACCTGAGTATTTGATTTTACTGGTTGAACCAGGCACTGACTAAAGATTTCAGGGAACCACGGTACAAACGTCAGGATAAGAGAGAAGATGGCTGTTTTCTGGGTTGTAGCACCATATAGTTGCCGATTAGAAATAACAGTGAGCGTAGATGTCCTAAAACAACTTTTTTTAAGTGTGATAAGCTAGTTGTAACATGTAATACCAAGATGTGGACCCGTTCAAAGAGAAACAAAAGCAAAATCCAGGCAGTGGATCTGAAATTTTTGAGAAGTGCTGAGTAAAAAACAAGATCTGATAGAGTTAGAAGTGTTGTGTTAGAGAAGAAAATGGATCCAAAAATTGTTAATTGGATTAGAAGAGACTTGATTACAGTGGCCATTGAAAGATACTGGATAGAAGAAGTATACTTAGAATGGCCATTAGAATTACAGCTTATGGGATGATATAGAACAAAATGGTTCCGTCAGGTATTAGAAGACATCAAGAACAGACAGAAGTGCTGGCAAGAAATTTAAAAGGATAGGTTGTGTGATGATGGCAAGGTTGAAGTCTTCATCCATGAACTCATAAATGATGCTGAAAGTAGTAGAGGAAGGTTTTCAGTTATATCCAATGTCAGTTAAAGTGAAAATACATTGAATTAGGTCACTAAATTGTGCATTCTAATTTTTTTTAAAAAAAGTGTAATTTTGTGTTCTCTCTATTCTATAATAGAGTAAACAGTATGTCCACAGGCATACTTTTCTGTGATTAGTCCATAATGCATATTCAAAATATGTTATCCTTTTTCCATTTGCCTTACAGTACTTTTCATGTTTATTATTAATCCAAGTAATGTATTGTTATCCAAAATTGTGTTTGCTTCCCGTTTATTTTTCATCCTTATTGAAAATTAATTTTTAGTTGCTTTATACAGCACATAACTGGGATTTGATTTGTGTAATTTTTATTCATGCTCTTATATTTATATAATATTATATTATTTAGTTAATTCCTTTTATTCCTCTTGGGAACATAGGGCTGATATGAAGCTCCTCCAATTCTCTCGGTTGTTGGCGAGTGCCTCTATTTCCTTCCAACTTTTCCCCTGTGATCTTGCTTACTTTTCAATAGATCTCCGCCGTGTAATCCTCGGTCTTCCCCTTTTCCGTGCTCCTTGGGGGTTCCAGTCCAACACTTGCTTTGAAATGCTCTCATCCTCTTTCCTAAGCGTAATATTATATTACTGACCATATTTCACGCGCAGTTTTCCTTATGCAATATACTTCATCTGTGAGTCAATAGTTGAAATGCCATATTGAGTTGATTCACTGCAAATAATTTTCTCCTTGCATGACTGAAAGCCCTAATATGCCCCTTTTCACTTTGCATGAGATTACATGGAAACAAAATTTTATCTTTAGCACAATGTTGTGTTGATCTTGTGGAATTTAATGCTTTTTGGACTTGTAGCAAGATACTAGGTTTTTAAGAGGAACATACTGTCTCCATCTTCAAGGCTAAAGTATCATACTACAAGTCCACACACCATACAATTCAGAAGAACAACAAAACGTCTTTACAACCATTAGAACTTTATCTTACATTTGGCCAAGTTCTTAAATCACTAAATAACAAAATATACATTTTCTGTCCTGTGGTACTTAAATGAAGAAACTGACTAGCCGCAGACTCGTTGCCCTTTTATTTTATATTGGAATAACTTTTAGCAGCAGTGAATTCAGACATAAACCCCTCTGTTTTACTTAAGAGTTTTTAAATGTTTTAAGAAGTAATGGACCTCGTGACTTTAACATTCAGTAGTATATGCTATTAGAATGCTGGTCACAGCGGCCGCATGGTCTGCCGCTTGGGCCTTGCGCTCATGGACACTGGGACCGTGGGTTCGAATCCCACTCAAGCCACGGATGTCTGTCCGCGTTTTTCTGTGTTGTGCTGTCCTGTGTACAGGTAGAGGACTTGCGACGGGCCGATCACTCGTCCAAGGAGTCCTACCGAATGTCTAAATAGATTAAGTAACCTCCAAAAAAGGTGGCCAAGACACACACTGGGTTGTAGAGCCACAGATGATGATGATTCTATTAGAATAAAGTAACACGACCCTTCTTTTACCATTGGTTGTATTCAGTGTGTGTGTGTGTTAAGGAAAATTATTGCAGATGGACAGTCATCTCATAATGTGCCCTGTGGCATCCTGCTCATTTAATTTCTCATAATATGAAAACACACCCTTCCTATATGACATCTGTAATGACAGGATTTACCCTTTGACATTTGAAAAACTCCCTACCTCTGTGCTTAGTGTAACAAATTTGTGAGTTCTTCAGCTGTGTCATGGAAGAATTTTGCATAGTCTAAAATCTTTGATGTTGGACTAGGAGCAATCATTTAGAAATGTGCCATTTAATTAAGAAATCTGCCTCACCTGTTGCCTCGTGAACATTTAAAGAGTAATGTAATGGAATTAACATTAGTACTCCATTTGGTGACATGTTGCTGTGACCTACCATGGTAATACAATATAATTTTCAGCACAGTAATAAGAGGAATGCACTATTTTAACATTCATATCCACCAAGAAAATAACATTCCGTGCTTGTATGTCGTAAATATTTCAAATGTTCTAATGTAACATGTTACTCACAATCTGAATATCTGCATTGATGTCATGGCAGTTTTTTATACCCTGCATTAATATTTATGCATAGTGTCTTAACATTTTTGTACAGAGCCAGTCTTCCAATTCAGTGAAGTTACCAAACAAAATTTTTGGCAAAACCCTGTCGAGGAGAACAGCTGTTATAATTAGGTAACATGAGGATTTAAATAACTTGGGCCCAGCAGAAGACTCGCTTTGGATAAAAAGAACCTGGGAGTGCCTTTCCAACGTTCGGTGTGTATGTCGGGGCGTTGAAGCAGATAATCTAAATGCATGTCGTTCTTAGAAAATACTGCCTGTCTACAAAGAGAAGAATGTGAAACAGGTTCACTGATTTATCTGTCCTGAATCGCCGCGTCGGCGCCAAGCATAAGTTACCTCCCAGTTCGTCACAATCCTAATGTAGCCGCCAGTGGGTCATTGTTATTTATACCACCTTCTTCGTAAAAGTTCACAGAGCTTACAAAAAAAACTAAAACCCGCGTGACAGTTTGCACGGACATCAAATGTCCTCCGCGAAGGTGATCATGAACAGTGAGTGAATAAAAGTAAAACTGGATTAACTAACTCCATCGAGTAAAGTCCTTCCTGAGAAGGTAGTAAAAAAAAATCCTCTTCTTTTATGGAGCCCGAAGGTGCATTTCCGTTTTCACTGGCATGCGAGCAATCGGTCACTTGCCTGAACCAGATGAATCCACATGAGAGTTCAGGTTCTCACGTCGGCGAGTATGAACTTTACTTTCTTTTGAGATGTTGCGCCTGGTAGTCTGGTGTAAGTTTGCATACGTTAAAATATTAGATTTACATTGCTTATGTGAACACATAGAAATCTTTGTAACAGGACCATGCTGATGTCTGACTTCAGCGTCTATAGAAGAAATTTACAGTGTGAAATAATTTGCTATTGTTTAATCGGGTCATTGTCAGTATAAATAAAAAGTAACATCCTCACCAGAGATAAGGAAGTACGGTTTAGAGAAATTTAGTTTATGATTGTTGTGGATCAATAACTGTGGGCCTTCAGCTTAATCGCAAGTTAAACAGCATTGACCCAAGTTCTATAAACTGCCATGCCAAGAATTCTTGGCTGGCCTGTTAGGCAGTGTTGTGAAGGTCGCCAAGTAATTTATCCACGTGGTGATGTTTGTCGTCTGTCAGACACTGCTGCGTAAATAGTCAAGACGCGCACAATGTGGGACAAACATGCGCTTTATCTACTACTAGTGTTTTTGAAGCGTGAAATAATAGCCTCCTGGTAGACTTATAAGTGGCATTTTAAAGTCAGTGTTTACAAAATACACTTCTATTTCTGCACTTAGCCACGCTATTGCTGGAAGGTCTCGCAGAAGTTCTGCTATCACAGCACGGTTGCTTCACTTCTGTGCTGGTCCCTTTAGAATCGCTTTCACATCATGACTAGGAAGAAAAGCCAGACAAAAGCAAGGTCAGGTCTGAAATTTCCTGGGTAATTTATCAAGGACCAAAGGAGTTGCTCCAAAAGTCGGTTTCGTATTGCACTAGGCTCCGAATTCTCCGTAGGCTGGTTAACCGAGGTCTGTTTGAATTGAAACGAAAATTAATTTAGAAAATCTGATGTAAAAGCTAGAATGTTTAAAAGATAACATAAATAAATACAATGTTATTATTTGACGTATTAACAGTACTCAATTGTTGCAAAAATCTTAAATTTACGACAATAGAACTTTATTACTACCAGTTGGAATCCATTTTAATAATAATTGATATGTACTGTATTAAATTTTATATAAAAAATTAATAGTGTATGTGTCTGTAAATACACTAACTTCCGTGTTACATTTTCGTGTTTTTCTTTCATTTTTGTGGATTATCAGGGATTTCTATTATCCGAGAAAATATATTTCCAAACCAACCCGTATACCGAAATGTTCTGCTGTCGGGAAAGCAAGTTTTGGGGGTAGACCGACATTTTAAATTGTCAGTTCCTCGTCCTACATTATGCTCGAACTCATGGCGAAATACTAAAAGTGAGAAAATCCTTCCCGCTGGATTTCCCGACCTCGTAACAGTTGATCTTAGTTGGGCTGTGCCGGGAGATTCAGTGATTAATGCCATCACGAAAGTCGGCCATTGAAGCAGTTAAACCCATAACCTATTTTCTCAAGACCCATTTTAATGTCAGCATTCCATTTACGTCTCGGCATCCAAAGTTATCACCTTCAATGAACTGCCCTTGTCAAAAGTTATTGATAATTGACTTTTACATTATTTTACGATACTATTCCAACTGTACAGGCTCATACAAAAAAATTGTTACAGAATCCTGCAGCCACTTAGCAAACATTGACGTGGAAGTATAAAAGAAACAGAATGTAACGGATTACAGTGGAATGATCTTGCGCAGGATAGGAACCACTGCTGAGCTTTTGCGGCTACGGTAATGAACATCCGTATTTCATGAACGGCGGGAAATTTCTTGACTAGCTGAGTGAATGTTAGTTTCTTAAGAATGGTTCTGTTCCGTGGAAGTAGTTAGATTTCGGTACACAATACATCTGACTCAAAGAGAGTGTCCACGGTTGGAATAAAATAAGTAGTTTGATATTCAAAGAGTTCGCAACAAAAACGAAACACGATTTAAAATTGTCTTACAATGGTTAGCGTTTTGTTGTTTCTTTTCTTGTTGAACCTGGACACGTAATATGGCGCGTCTGTTGCGCAATTAATTGTTTACTACATTCATAGATAACTTCAACTGAAGACAACTTGGCCATCGCCTGATTGTTAATTACAGTATTTGTTCTGCGATATTGATAATTTTATACAGAGTTTAATAATGTTCGCTTAACAATGTGGTTGCAACTGATAAGAAAACAATAATGCTTTTGCTTTTCTTGCGGAACTGCAATCTACGTAAAATAAGTAAACAACAAGCAGTAAAATGCACGTATACAGTGACATAGCTAAAAGAACTTAAGAGGCAGAAATTATATTTTCAAGGCCCTTGGCTGAAAGAGAAGTTTGTACGGTACGAA